CATTTCGTGTATCGATGCGACACGGAGCGGTTCCACGATTCGATGTTCGCGTTCGATCGCGTCGTCAGAAAAGTGGGTTAGCCGGCGGCTAAAAGGGATCGTGGCGAAGTTGCATCATTGTTTTGGTCCGGTTGCGTAAAGCGAACAGAGCGCTATTGTATGATAAATTTTGTAACAAGGAAACGGATGAGTTTGCGGTAATGAGTCGATGGGCAGAGGAATGATTGTTTAGTACAGAGCGTCGAGTACGTTGTTCACGGGTGGCGTCTTACAAACAACTGGCGTGTGGTGTGGCGTGCAGGCTGAGCGCTGAGCCACATCACACGTGCAGGAACCGGCTCGCCTGCACGTACGTAATTACACGCGGGTGCAGACGGCTTTTCTTTTCGCGAACAACGATCATTATAACGAGGAAGTCTGCAGTGTTATGCATGCTAAGTAAATATGCAAAAACAACAGAAGACACATTACAAGGTTCATAACATGTATTGATAAGTACAAAACAAGAAAGGAGCAGGGTACATGGACGGAACATAGAACATAATTCATAAATACATTTGAGAAATATTGGATGATCGTTAATTACAATTTTAAACCTTAAACTGTAAGTAATAAAGGATGAATCAACTTAGATAGTTAGAAAAGAAAACCTTTATCCCTAAAAAGGATGTCGTAATTTTAATCTAGATTAATAGATTTGACGCCATACGAGTAGACAGAGTGCGTCTAATTTTATGTCTAACTTGTAAAAATTCCCTTGTCTTGACTACAAACCTCAATACTTGAATGTTATTCGTAGTTTTTGGTGTGAAACAAATGATTCTCAAAAAGCCTGAATTTAGCAGAATCAAGTAAAAAAAATCGGTCATTTTAAAATCAAAAAAGGTTCTTCGACCTGAGATCCGGGTTCGGATCATTTCAGACACTGGGCTATTTCTACAAAGTCTCATGAAGGAGCTTAGAATTGAACAATATTTAAAGTTAGTGAAGACAAAGAAAGTAGTTGATAAGGACTATGCCACCATACGTCCATTAATATAATTGTGGCCACTTAAATTTGGGGGCTCTCGGATATTGTGATAGACATTCCCCATCTAAATGTCATTGACTTTGAAACAATAGATGCTTTCTTGAGCTACGGCTGATAAATATATCTATACTAGCTGTTGCTCGCGACTTCCTCTGCGTGAAATTAAAAAAAATTAAGTAACATAGCCTGTGTTATGTAGTTTTTGAGCCATTTAATACATACATACAAAAATCCCAAAATACAAATCTTTCCCATTTAAACATTAGTGTATGTCTCATATATCCTAACACACTGGATCTTTGATATAACTTTAGTAGGGTGTTCAGATGACGTCAGAACAAGTTTTTAGATTAAACAATACAGAAAGAATTGAAAACGTTTTTATTTAAAAAAAAAACTGTTGTTTATATTCTGACTGAGTTCTGTTTAGCCAGTTAGGGATTAAAAACTTTGGATGTATGTCCAATCTTACTAATATTATGAATGCGACAGTTTAGATTGATGGATGGATTTTAGAGATTGTAGCCTAAAAGAGCTGAATGGATTTCGATAAAATTTGGTATAGATATAGAGGATAGTCTGAAAGAACACATAGGCTACTCACTTTTGTTTTTGTTTAATCTACGCAAACGGAGTCGCGGGCATAAGCTAGTGTTACTATATAAGAACTAAATAGTTGAAAATGTTTCATGCATAACATCTCAAAGTTTGAGATAAGATCTGGTACCGCAGCTCACGTCTCTAAGCCTAATATTCTAGGACAAAAAACATCGACCGGAGATCGCATACCTGCATCGCGCAAAAACTTAGTTCAACAAACTATAACACCGCTAACTTTAAGATGCATAACGTTATTACGAAGACAAGCAACGAGACGAGACGTTCAACTTGATCGGGTTCTAGAAAGTCGTGATGCTGTGATATTGATGGTGTTATTTAAGAATGGTTTACACTGAGGTATTCAATCGCTTATGTTTTATTTTTCCAATGTAACTTGCACATGTAAGGTGCGAAGTAAAAGTGTAGTCAGTAAAACAGTACACTAGGGTCGTTTAACTAGCATGTAAACCAAGCTTATAGTTGTATTGATAGGACGAAAAGTTTCGTAAGCGAAAACAAAATGCGTCGGACAGAGCACGTAGTTGCCGCTTTGCATCATCGCGAACTAACTTCCCTATTTGAGAAATGGAACGTTTCTATAAACAGTATAGCGCCGCAATACACGGACTGTTTCGAGCAGTCGGCGAGTTGCCAGTAGCATTTTCATCTTTAAATGATACGACTGGTAGCTTCTGTGTAAAATGACTGCGTATGGGCAGCTTTACGAGGTCTTTGTCTATAGCGTGTTAGAATAATGTTTATTTTAGAATCCGTAATGCCTTTGTCTGTTGTTTCTGAATAAAATAAACAAACGTTCGTTGACTACATTCTACATTTTCCAGTTGCCTTTGACCGTTTTTTGGAAAGATCTTTAAAAAGTTATATCTCAGTAACAATTTTAAATTCCAAAAGTATTCGATTGCGTCGACACTATCTTTTTTTTTCAAAAAGACAAAAGAATCCCAATATTCTTTACATCTTTCCATTTTCATACAACATTAATATGCATCTAAAAGCAAGTGGCACTTAAATATCTATTAAAACAAAGTGTAGTAACACTTAAATTATCTAAGTAACAAAGGTTAGATCTACGAGCGCTACGCTCACGTCGACAATAAAATCTCACATTATGGGACATCGCCCATTCAACACCATACATCATTCTTATCAATGACACCGTACATTCAAATGACACGATGTGAATGTTGATTGTATTGAACTATTACTTTGATGACTGATCTTTACTGTTACCATGGTTACGAAGGTCTTTACCTTTTAAGTCTATACTAATATTATAAAGAGAGAAGATTTGTATTTTTAGATTTTTGTGTGTATTTAATTCACGTAAAAATTACTGGGTCGATTTTAAAAATTCCTTCATCATTAGAAAGGTAATTTATCTGTGAGTAACGTAGGCTATACTTTGTATTATATTTTAAGTTCACGCGGGCAAAGTCGCGAGCAATGGCTAGTAAATATTACAAAAATCCTCATATTTCAATATATAAAGGATAAATAACATTAGTAACGATTCTAAAATCTTCTTCATCTTGGAACTAAGTAACTATGAGACAGCTTTTTATTTTTTTTTATTTTGAAAAAATGATCTCCAGCTTTATGTAGGTTTTTAAAATAACCGTTAAAAATGTCGAAAAATTCGCCATCATACAAAGGGATATAAACCACGGTCGAAATCAACAAAAGCCGGCCGTCATAACCCGGAAACAATGGGATGAAAGGCAAATGGAGAGAACTGAAGGTATAGCCGGAACGACAATTTAACGACAGCGCCTTGTATCGGGAACCCACGACTCAACATTACCATTGTCCCGGCCACCCAAAACGTCCGGTAACTAAATAGGGTTTAAAACGACGCCGTAAAGCTCGCCGAATAAGGCGTAAACGGGTTTAAAATACTGAGCTCAACGAATGAGACGAAGTTTATGTTTTCTTCGAACCCTGTACACCTTGGCAATATTTATTTCTTTAAAAATATTTAATAACTAGCTGTTGCTCGCGACTTCATCCACGTTAAATGTAAAAACATAGCCTATATAACTTTTTAATGGTGCATGAATTTTTATAATCGGCCCAGTAGTTTTGGAGTATTTTCTTTTAAAAAAACTTTCCTCTTTATAATAATAGTTCCTAAACAAAAATATTATTCTTAGCATAGGTGACCCTACTGCAAATGTCTATAGGTCGCTGTAATAATGTGAACAATCAAATCTTTAAAAAAACATAACTAAAGTATGATGGTTACTAAAACCATCGTCCTTTCTACTAGTATATTGTACTGTTGTACATACTCAAGGTAGTTAGACGCCTATCGGTTCCTAGTCGTAGGTGACACTAATCCGTACAACTCGGGGTGCAAGGGGCAATAGTTGCGCTCGTCTAAGTGGCTTAACCTTTCGACTACATTTACTTGTACCGTCTTACCTATTCCACTATAACTTGAATAACATGGCTTCAAATCCATACATATTCTTGTAGTTAGTTTGAAAACTTTCTGATGTTTATGTAATTTTCAAAAATGTGTCTATGGAGAATTGCGGCAAGTAAAACAGTTTTAAAAATAAAATAAAAAAAAACTGTTATACTTTTAAATTCGTGTCGCGTTTCGCAAATCTCTGCTCTTGTCTAAGGTTAATGAACTCTAGACATCTTTAATCCAGTTTGTCAGGTCTTGAAACTTATGTAAAAACTACGGACGACGACATTAAAGTCTAAACGATGTACACTAAAGTGCCACGTTTTATCGAGTATGAGAGAAAAAACCTTTTTTGTCTTAGTAACATTAAAAGGATTTTTTCCTAGGAATATTAAATATATGGTAGGGAAAACTTGTGCCAAACTCTTGAGTAGGAAAAGGATGGGAAGTCGCCTTCCGATACCTGAACTAATATTATAAAAAAGAAAAATTTGTATTTTTGTATGTATTGGAATAACTCAAAAACTACTGGGCTGATTTTAAAAATTCTTTCAGCGTTAGAAAGGTAACTTATTTGTGAGTAACATAGGCTACGCGGTCGAAGTCGTCATGAATAAAAATTGATAAAAAAACGCAAGTTGAATAAAATGTTTGTACATATTCTTATGTACAAAAAACTTATATGTTCAGTTTGCGACATTGACTCCATTATAAACGAGTTCTGCAAGAAGTCTGTCTAAAACGGGTTCCGTTACTAGGTAACCATTTCAATATACTTAGGGAAACCCAAGTCTACATTAACATAGAAATTAAAATAACGTACGGAAACAAAGTATGCTAAAAGAAAGTCAAAAGTTAAAGGATAATAAATCTATACTTCTATACTATTATAATAAAGCGTAAACACACACTTCTTTGTTGCCTAAGATGTCAGCAATTACAGCATATTTTTGAATAATCCTCTTTTTAATAAAAAGCTATATATTTTCACGCCATAAAATTTAGGGTAAAATGTGGGAAAGAGACCATAAGTTGCTGCCAACATCAAGGAAGCAAGATTGCCAAGTTTTGTCATGTCATGTCATTTTGACATTTGAAATTGACAATTTGACACATGTAAACAATAAAATAATTCTATGCTGATGAAATTGCACGGGAACAGCTAGTCAATTATAGAGCAAACATTTTCCTATAAACAGAGATATGATATTTCGAGTACCTAACTGTTAAGTAGTATTGCTCGCGACTTTATTCGCGGGAAATTAAAAAAATAACAATAAACATAGCCTTTGTTACTCACAGATAAATTACCTTTCTAATGGTGAGAGAATTTTTAAAATCAGCTCAATAGTTTTCACGTGAATCAAATAATTAGTATTAAAAAAAATCTTCCTATTTAAATCACGT